AAAGGTTCGCAGCCGAGTGCGACGTGATCGGCATGCGTGTGAACGCATCTAAAACGAAAAGCCTAGTGCTGTCTCGTTTTCCTGCCCGTTGCTCTCTTCAGACTAAAGTAGACTCAGTGGATCAGGTGGAGAAGTTCAAATACCTCAGAATTGTATTTACTAGTGATGGAACATTGGAGCAAGAGATGGACCGGCGAATTGCAGTAGACAGCGGCGTTCGGCGTGAACTAGCCTGACCGATTGTGACTAAAGCAAAGCTCAGTCTGATAACTTAGCTCTCGATATTCTAGTCAATCTTTGTTCCCATAAAAACTTCGAACCCGGGTGTAAGCTGCTGAAATGGGCTTCGGTAGACGAGTCGCTGGCCCTACGCGTCTCGACATGGTCCGAAATAGTGACATTCGGAATAGACTTGTTATACAGCCTTTGCTTTTCCAGACTGAGAAGACACAGCTGCGATGGCTTGGGTATGTGTTGCGAATGCCTCGAGAAAGGAAGGCTAAGCAACTCTTTCTTGCGAATTCCACCGGCACAAGGCCCAAGGGACGGCCAAGATTAGCCTGGTGCAAATATATGAAACGTTTCTGTTCCAGACTCCATTTGTCCTTTGCCGAAGCTCAGACTCTTACAAATAATCGGGAACGTTGGATGATCTGTCTGACGTGTCTGTCTCTGCGACCCGATAGGAGAAGCGGCGATGGAAGGTGAAGATGAAGGTTATGTTTGAAAATGAGACATTTGCATTTCAGGGGATATTGAATGATGAATAGATAGGTGAAACAAAGGCTAGTAAAATTGTTAAGTATAATTATATAATTCCGCTTTTCACTATTGCCAAATCGGTTCAAAGAGGACACTTTATATTAAAAGATAATAGTGGTTCTAAGCATTTTTTGACCCAAGATTAGGAGTCTAAAACTTTTAACAATAGTGGTGAGGTTTTATCTCAGAGGCTGTTGGCATAGAAGGTTTACGGTTGTTGTTTCTTGTTTTTATATCCTTATAATGTATACAAAGAGCTTAGTTTATCAAGTATGAATTTGGAATTGCAAACGTTTCTAACAGATAACTTATTTCGTTCTTCGTTACGGTGTCGTTGAGAAAACTTTTCGGTATTCTTCCGTAATAGAGCTAATCTTTGGTTACTGTAGTAATTGCTCCTGCAAACTGTTTGCAAACTGTTTACTGTGGTATCGACTTTGGAATCAAAGCTGTGTGTGGTAAAATGATGTATTGTTTACTTCTGTTCGTGTGCATGGCGGTGCAGTGCTCTTCGTGTTCCCGTCGTCGAAGACGCCCTGATGTCCTTCTTACTTAAGCTAAGTTCGAAGCGTGTTTGCTAGAATGGTTCGATTGCAATCAGACTGTGCCGTTGCTGTCGTCGCTACCGAACATGACGTTCATTCTTAAACGGAAACGCTTCAAGTTTCAAGTGGATTTCATGCTGGCGGACATGAGCAACGTTCCTTTTGTCAACGCCGTTCTCTTCTCGAAGGTCCGTCTGCTGGACGGTGGCACGTTCTGCGACTACTCCTCGCAGTAAGTATATGTTTCACGCATTTGGTTGGCACCATTTGGCACGTGGTCGCATGTTGTTGTTCACTCACCCCTCATTTACCCTCATCGCCCTCACCAAGGTTCGCGATGCGGCGGTGCGCATTTCCCCGACGTTCTTCCGATGCGTAAATCCAAAGTTGTAGTGTCGACGTGGACAGTGCGCTTGCATGCCTTCTATTCGAAGCATTAGCCGTGCTGTTCATAGGCGGCACCGTCGGATTCGTGCGGATTTCATTTAGCTCTTCTTGTGCGTAGTCTCTTGCTCGCTTGTTGTTCTTGAAGTTTGCTTTAAGACGAAGAACCAATTTAGCGCCTCCGCTTCCTCCCCTCG